TGCAGTATACATTATTGAACCCATCTTTCTCAGTCTCTACCCAACCCTGAGGTCAGTCCTGTTTTATAACAGTGGCACCATGCAGTATTTGTCCTTTTGTGACTGAGATCCTTCACTCAGCATAATGTCCTCCAGGGTCACCCATTTTGAATAATATTGCATTAGTTCCTTGGTTTTCAGTGCAGCATAGTATTCCATTGTGTGGATATACCACAGCTTCTCTATCCATTCGTTTGTTGATGGGCACTTAGGTTGTTTCCAGCTCCTTGCTATTGTGAACAAAGGTTCAATAAACATGGGTGTGCATATATCTGCTTGGATGTCAGTTATGGTCTCTTCGAGGTATATTCCCAGTAGTGGAATTGCTGGGTCAAATGGCATCTCTATTTGCAACTTTTTGAAAAAGTGCCATCCCGCCTTCCACAGTGGTTGCACCATTCTACACTCCCACCAACAGTGAATAAGGGTTCCAGTTTCTCCACAACCTCCCCAGCATTTGTTGCTTGCTGTTCTGTTAAATTTTACTATTCTGACTGAGGTGAGATGATATCTCATAGTTGTTTTAAAATGTCTGGGTTTTTATGTCAGGATAACTTTTTTTTTTTATGTCAGGATAACTTGATCTCAAATCTTTGGTCCCTTGAATAACGGTCTCACAGTTAGTTACTCAACCAGGTTAAAGAATTTTACAGTTGTTATGTGCCGTGAGTTGTTTGCAACTCATAGTGATCCTATGCTTAACAGCTCTGAACCCTGCTCAATCTTAAACCAATTTCACTGCCTCTGACACACCTATCCCCATTATCCTAGTCATTGAGTCAATCCATCTCGTTCATAGTCTGTCTTTCTTGCATTGTCCCTGCACCCTTCCAAGTATAAGGTCCCTCTTCAAGGACTGGTCCTTAAGGTGCATCTGATCCAGGCTATGGTCTTCACAATTGCTTGCTATGCATCAGAAAACTGGACAGTGGCGAAGGATGATAGAAGAATTTATGCCTTTGAGTTGTGGTTCTATGGAAGAATATTAAAAGGACTGCTAGGAGAACAAACAGATCCGTCCTGAAGAGGATGAAACCAGGCTGCTTCTTGGAGGCAATGGTTTTTTTTTTTCTATAATTATATTTTATTAATTTTCATAAACATTTACAGAGATTTTGGGCTTCCACTCATTCATTGTTGCACTATTCTCTCTACCCTCCTCCCAGTTTGTTCTTGTCCAAATGCCACAGTGCTTGTCAAAGCCAGTTCTGATTAATCTTCTTTGTCAGTGTATCCTTTGCCATTCCCTATCACTCCTCCCTGAGAGAGACTTCACCCTGAGTCATAAGGAAAAGGGGACGGCGTATTCTCTTAGCTACTTCCTGCTGAAAAGGGACGCTGTGGGTTTCAGGGTGAAGATCTTCTCTCACTACTCTAAAGGGCCCCTTTGGCAGTAGGTAACACATAGACTATTATGGAGATTGATTTTGGAATTCAGATGCACTCTTATTGATTGTGCTTGGCTGTACATGTACATATCCTTCAAGATGTATCATGGGGGTGTTGCAACCTAGAAGACACAAATTTGACTAACAAGTTATAAGTACATGAGTCCAAAAATTATGGAAAAGTAAAAGAAAAGATTCTTTCATTGTTTTACAAACCCTCCCCCAGGTCCCCTCCACCATGCAGCCCTCGCTCTAGTGTCCTGTGATGACAGAAATACCCAGTTACATCTCTCTTTTAGACGGTTCTCTCCCTCCTCTGCTTCAGTGCAGTATACATGATTGAACCCATCTTACTCAGTGTCTCCCTAACCCCAAGGACAGTCCCATTCTACAACAGTGGCATCATGTAATATTTGTCCTTTTGTGACTGGGATATTTCACTCAGCATAATGTTCTCCAGAGTCAACCATTTTGAATAATATTGCATGAGTTCCTTGTTTTTTAATGCAGCATAGTATTCCATTGTGCGAATATACCACAGCTTCTCTAGCCATTCGTTTGTTGATGGGCACTTAGGTTGTTTCCAACTCCTTGCTATTGTGAACAAAGCTGCAATGAACATGGGTGTGCTTATATCTGCTTGGATGTCAGCTATGGTTTCTTCAGGGTATATTCCCAGTAGTGGAATTGCTGGGTCAAATGGTATCTCTATTGGAGGCAATGGTTTTGAAGCTCTGTGTGACATATTGTGGGCATATTACCAGGAGGGAACTTTGTATAGGTGCCCTTTATTATCATTGCAAACTTGGCCAACTCTGTTGTCCTCTAAAATGTAGTCAACTATTTATTATCTTCCTAAGCTTAGGCCATTATGTCCTAGCCAGCTTAGCCATCAAGCCCATCTTTATCTCTTCCTGAGCAGGGCAGTCATGGGTAGGAAATATTACATGATTAATAGTTGGCTGTTATTCTGACCCTGGGGTTTAGCAGGACTGTTTGATGATACTCAAACAGATGCCAGGACAATCATAGGGTCTTGAGTCCCCTGGAAGAGACAGAAGAAATCTCTAGGTATGGGAGAGAGGTCCTAGGATGAGACTGAGAACCCAAAACTTTGTCTACAGCCCGTCCTTCTCCACTGAGCTCTTGAGCAGATAAAATCACCTCTCTGAGCCCCTGGTTCCCAGTCAATAAACATTAACCATTGAGGGTGTGGTATCAGCTTTTGGCTCCAACTTTGGCTGAAGCTCCTAGAATGGACTCTGATGGCCAAGTCCTCTGTGTTTGAATCCACCAGTGACTCCAAGGGAGAAAGAATAGATTGTCTCCTCTTGTACAATTTACAGGCTCCAAAACCCAATGGACAATCAGCTATGAGTCATTCCTGACTCAATGGCAGTAAGTTTAAGAATCTTATTTTGGAGGTTTTTTTGGGGGGGAAGTATTTTTAGGGTTTTTTTTGTTTGTTTGTTTGGTTGGTTTTATGGGTTTGTTTGGTGGGTTGTTTTGTTTTGTTTTGATGGAAGGGTCTTCCTGCTCAGTCTTTGTCTGGATAATGGAAAGAAAAGGATATTGCTTGGCTTCCTATTCAAGAGCTGTGCTGGTTAGGAAGGAAGGCCTCACATTGTAGGCAAATTTTTCACAAATATTTGGTTTTCAGGCAAATTCCTATATGGATTGCTTCATAAATCCAAGGCCTCAACTTGGTGTAGAAATGGAAAACTCTTATGTCAATGGAGTAGGCAGGTAGATGAGGAAGCTCAGTGAACTTGGTTCCAGGGTTTCAGAGTACGGTGCGGAATGGGACAAATATTAACGTTCACCTGCCAAAGGTAGCTTGTGGCCAGAACTGATTTTTCAAGACAAGCTGGAAATCTCAATCTTTCTGTAACATCTCCCAATATTTTAACAGTAGCTACGAATTCAAAATTGTCGCTGAACATTGTGCAGGCCCAGTGATATTCAAAGTGAGGGTAAACACAGCCCATGCACTGTGAGTTTAAGATCTTTGATCAGATGCCTTACCTGCAGCCCTTCCCCCTGATGTCCCTTCTCCCCTCCATAAATCAAGTAGATCAAAGGAAGAGGCTCCCTCCAAGTGCTATTTAGTGTAGCCGACTTACCATGGGCTATCCGTAGGGCTGACATCATGGGCATGAGGCCAGTATCAGTCTAGAAATTTTTTTTTCTATTTCTTTCTCTTTTAAAAAAATATATTCATTTTAATGAACATTTACAAAGATTTTGGCTTTTCATTCATTCAGTGTTGCACTTTTTTCTTTACCCCCTCTCCCCCCATTTCACTCCTCTCTTCGAAAATCAAAAGATAAACTTCTTCGTTGGTATACAATCCTCCCAACCCTGACTGTACCCCACTCCACCCCAAATGCACTCCACTATGCAACCTTATTTCTGAATTCCTGTGATAATCATAATATGCTATCATATATCACTTTTAAACTGTTGTAGAAAGTATACTGACTATTTCTTTCTCTTTTAACAGTCAATTGGGGGCTGGGAGCCTCTTGTTTAAAGCAATTAGGACCTGGTAGGTGGGCCTTTGTGATTAACAGTTGGCTGGGGGCTGAGAGCCTCTGAAATTCTTTTTTTTTTTAATTTATTTTTTTTATTTTTGTGTGAGTGTACCGTCAAATCAGATCTGACTGGTACAGGAGGAGATTGTTCCTCCTTTTCCCTGCAGAGCATCTGGTGGATTCGAACCGTGTCCCTCTGGGATTGTAGTTGCAGCTCCTTGCCACTAGGCCACCAGAGCTCCCCCTGAAATTCTTAATGATTCTATCTTTGACCTTACATTTTGTCAGTGAAAACCAATGAGACAATAGAGTGTGTGTGAAGCACACCAGGGACTTGGAGCTTCAGCTTATGAGGATTTTATTGTCTCTTCTGCTTTCTTCCCAGGACAGATAGCAGAGTCCTGGGTATATTTGAGGGAAAGACTAGGGCATGTTATCTGAGCACTGAATCAAGGAACAGGGCCACCGGACACCTCGAAGGGCCTGCCTTTACACTATAAGAAACCAAAGTGTACCCAAAGAAGGGGATGCTACAGAACACATTTTTTAAAGCTTAGCAGTTTGAGAGATTCCACAGAGGAAAGGACGGAATTATTTCCTGCATTTTGAATAAGAGATCTCACATTTTCATCCTTTCTTTTTATTTTTAATAGTCTTTAATTCAAATGTAAAGTTCAATACAAGCCATATGTAGGGCTTGACATTTGTTATTCTCTTAAAACAATACAGGGGAATGCAACAGAATGTTCTTTCCATTTTTCTTCAAAAACTTTCAAGAAAATGATAGTTCATAGCCATGAAAGATCCATTTGGCCAAACCCGTTCTTCCCCTACTAATGGTTCTGACATCCATGCTATCATCTTAATGCAAGTAACTGAGATTTGCAGTCAGACCATTTGTTGCTGGTGTGTACCATGGAGTCAGAACCGACCCATCTCAGACCCTCTGGCAGGTTTTCAGAGGCAGTTAATCACATGGGAGGAGATTACTCATCCTTCTCCCGCAGAGCAGCTGCTGGTCTCGAACTCTGTGCCTTTGGAATTGCAGTGCAGCTTCTTGCCACTAGGCCACCATTTAACCGTTTAAAATACTTAGCACCAGTTTGGTCCCTTTAATGCCAAGCAAATCATGAATGGCTTCAAAATGTACACTTTTCAACACAAGCAGATGGTTACTTAAAGAAAGTAGTGTTTAACTGCCAATAAACTTCCCAGAAATGGCGTATGCCGTTCGAAGACCTGGACATTCTCAGGCTTTCCAGGTGGGATACCTCACCTAATGTGTGCAGAAGCATGAACGGCAAAGTTGAAGATCAGTATTATAACTATTTTCTATTTATTTGAAGCACAGTTGGTACACTTTGCAAAAATTCCATGCCAGAAGGTACAGTGCTATAACTTGAGAGACATTATACAGTTTAAAAAAAAAATCCTCGCATTTGAAACACTGCATTACATAATTTTACCTGCCTAAACAGACCATTTACAAGTATTAGATCAATAAGCTGCTAACATCCCAAAAAGGTAGCTCTCTTACTAAAACGCAAGATTTTAAAATGTTGATATCTAAACAAGAAGACAAAATGAACTGGAATGAAAGCCTTGCTGTCACATCTAAAATCAAGAGTTTTTGTTTGGACCTTCGTATCCTTCTTTTTTCTCTATTATATCCTGCTGGAGTCCCAGATCCCATTCCTCTAGGAAGGATCTCGTCCACCCACAGACCCGCCCTGCACTTCCCTACTCAAAGCATTCAGTACACATGTCACTTCCCATCATGGAACCATTCATGGTTACTGGGGGGACTCTGGGATTGGCTTCATAACCTCCTCCACCACCACCGTCACCACCACCATCATCATCTAGGGGTGGTAATCTCTGGCCTCCTGAACCACAGGGATCTCCCATGTGCATTGCTCCTCCCATTCTTACGTTTCTCTCTCTCAGATCCCTGTCGGATCCCTGTAGCCCGTTCGGCTGTAACTTTTCTCTCTTTGGCATCTCATCTGTTCTTCCTTCTCATGATGACAAACCATCATCTCTTCCTCCCTTCTACGTCGTTCTACCTCTTGCCTCAACTGCTTTTTTCCCCCTTCATTTCTGCATTTCTTGATTATGAAGTTCTTCCATGCCTCTTAATTCTTCCTGACATCTCATCAGATCTTGGCGCAGAAGGTTTGCTTGATGCTCATAATAAGCATCTTCCATTTCACTTTCTGATTTGCCCTTTGCATCTTCCATGTTTTTTCCCAACATGTTCCCTCTGTTGTTTTTCCATTTCAGCCAAGGATTTCCAGAGCCGGGAAGAAAATATGGAACGCTTTATGAATTTGTGTGTAATCCTTATTCAGGCGCCATGCTCATCTTCTCTGTATTATACCAGTTTTAGTATATATGCTGCTGAATGGAGCACACATTTTCATTCTTTTTTTTATTAAATTTTATTAGTTTTAATGAACATTTACAGAGACTTTGGGTTTTCATTCATTCATTGTTGCCCTGTTTTCTCTACCCTCCCCCCAGTTCGTTCTTCTTCCCCCCCCCTTGAATGTCTGTTTACATTTTCATTATTTATGAAGCCTTTTTTCTCCTTTACTAGTTGGGAAAACTGAGGCACAGCTTTAAGCAAAAGCATTTCCCAGATTCATCACAGACCCAGGCACCACTATGATGATCCACTCGGTCCCCAGCATGTCTAGTAACTTTAGTCTCTGGTCTCCCCCTCTGTACAGTGAAGAGTTGGAGGAGGTAACCTCATCATGGGGAAGGGGCAGGGCTTGTAGGGGTAGCAGTGGTTCAGTGAATACCCTCATCTGGAATGAGGAACAGCTGCGTCTGAGTCCCCACTCTCCTCCTTCAATGTAACCTTTTGTGATTCTCCAGACTCAGTGAGAATGGCTTATCCCTGAATGCCGTGTTCAGTTTGATCCAGCTTTTCTCGACTTCGCAGTGGATTTTTCATTTGGACATCAGGTGAGTGTACTTCTCAGGCTCTGACCCTCCTCCTCACCTACTATTGCAATCAGCCATCAGCTCCCATACAGGCTCCTGTCTGTCACGTTCACCATGTATCATACCCAGGTCCTCACACACAGCACTGGGTCCAGTGAGCATGCAAGGGTATCTGTCGAGTGGATGGGTGAGTAAATGGAAAAATGGATGGATGGAGATTGGGTGGGTGGGTGGGTGGATGGATGAATAGGTGGATGGATGGGTGGATAGGTGGATGGATGAGTGGATAGGTGTATGGATGTTGGATGGATGGATGGATGGATGGATGGATAGGTGGATGAATGGGTGGATAGGTGGATGGATGGATGGATGGATAGGTGGGTGGATGGATGGATGGATGGATGGATGGATGGATGGATGCACGGATAGGTGGATGGATGGATGGATGGACGGATGGATAGGTGGATGGATGGGTGGATAGATGGATGGATGGATGGATGGATGGATGGATGGATGAGTGGATAGGTGGATGGATGGATGGATGGATGGATGGATGGATGGATGGATGGACGGATGGATAGGTGGATGGATGGGTGGATGGATGGATGGATGGATGGATGGATGGATGGATG